AATTAAAGATATTTATTCTTTTTTTTTTCTTCAAGATAAAAATTCATATTTAACACCATCAAAGGATATATAATTGGTGATATAACTAGTTTTTATAAAGAAATATTTCTAAACATTCCGAATCTAGATAAAAATTTAAAAGAAAATCAATTAATTGATCTTCCTTATAGTAATAAAACATTTGAAAATATTAAATAAGGACATGTTAACGTAAATATATCTTCAATTAATTATTCATCAAATAAAATTCAAACAAATTCCACATCGAATGTTTTATCATCATCGATTCAAGTAGGTAACCTTTTGTTCTTTTCTTTGTTTTTTTTCTTTTATTATTAATTATTTATTGTCAATTGTATAATTATATATTTATTTAATATTATTTCTAATAAATATTGAACATGATAACTATATATTAATTATTATATTCAACAATAACAAATATATATATACAAGTTATTTAATCGACAATGAATTAAAATATAGACGATATATCGATTCTTAACAAGATAATTCATTAAAAAACAAAAAGAAAAAAAAACAGAAGTCGAATTCTCTATTGAATTTTCAATATAGAATTTTTCTTTTTAATAAAATCTACGTTGAAATTAAATCTTTGATTAGATTTGAAAAATTTTCATTAAAAATTCTAGTCAAATAAATAAAATTTTAGTTGAATTAATCGAAATAGAATTTATTTATTAGACTCTTCTCTTTTATATACTATAAAACAAATAAGAATATTTCTCTACAATTAAATAAATACATAAGAACCATTTTTATATTTCGTCCAATTTTATTTAACTTAATTGAATATATTATTCAACATCATATTGACATATAATAATATAAAATTTATTTATTTATTCAAACATTTTTTTTTCTCTCATATTATGTAAATATTTGAAATAAATAAATATTTAGTAAAATAGCTGTTAGTTGACCTATTCAAATAAACAAGTAATTAACATATTAAATAAATTAATAAAATAATAATATTATTTATAAAATTTATTAAATCTAATTGAATTGAAATCATATGAATCATATTGAAATTTTTATCTTTTTTTTTAAATAAATAAATTCTAGGTGCAAATGATACAGTACGAACGACTCGAATTCGAACTGAAGATGGTAAATTTTTAACAACTATTTCAACAATATCAAAAATAAATAATTCGAATAATAATCAAGATAATATTCTAATTAATAGAAATGAAAAAAAATCTTTTTTTTGGTCAATCAACAAATAATTCTATTAAACAAACATTTTCCGATGATTCAAATTCAAATTGTTTAACAAAAAGGGTGTGGATGGGGTGTGGGTGGGGTGGTGTGGGTGGGTGGGTGTGGCTGTGGATATAGATACAGCCCTCATCTACACCCCTCACCACCCACACCGTCAGCGACACGCATACCCATCCACACGAAAGCCACCTACAACCATCCCCGCACGCATCCACACGATAGCCGCCTACATCCACACCCACCCTCTGTCATATAAGAAGTAATTGACGAAAAGCGCAACTCTTACACAATACGATTAGACTTAGTTTTTGTTGGTTTCTATTGACATAAACATGTGTTTCATGTTGATAACGCAATAATTATGTCGTCATATGTATTTTTCCGTTTCTTCCTTTTTCTTGCAACATACTTACCTAATTCTGTGGGCAGAAAAACGTATTGATTACAGTGTAATGGTGTAATATTTTGTTACGGATATAAAAGGTTTGCATTTTTCTTTTATTTTTCATCTCATCTTCAAAGAGAAAAATGCGTTTCGAAGCGTTCGACCTCTTGAGATCGATAACCGCTTACTTCGACAAAACACTTCTCTATCAATAAATTCAACATCATTTTAATTGTGTCACTATACGACTTGATGGCCTTTTAAGATTAACCTTGAATCGTTAACTCGACACTTTATCTTTATTCTTTCTTTTCTTCGGATTGACAGACCTACTTCGATGCCATTCTAGTCTCCAAAACAGCGGCTACGCAATCGGCTCTTTTAGAGACGCTCGACACATTTTTGTGTAGTTGGTAGTGGAGACAAGATTGTTGCTATTGAAGTAGTAACCTGCCGGTCCACTATTGTGATTTGAATGAGCATGTTCTGTTTGTATACTATTGATTCAGACATGATACTCATTCCACTTCATTGGTCGGTATGGTAAAACAACAAACAAAATGACACATGTTTACCTTTGCAAAAAAAACAAAAGGAAACTTCTCAAATGACTATGAATTTGTGCACAGCAAATAAAGGGTGGCCCAAAAGTTTCGACCCCTCTCAGTAAATCGAAGATATCTACAGCAAACTTACATGAAGTTATTGACCCAACTACGTGATTTTGTAGAGGAAGAAAAGAGCTATCATCTGAAAAATAAATATTTCGAAATACATAAATCTATTACAAAGTTATGGTCATTTTACTAATCTTGAGTTAAAATTTTTACGTTACATTTTTTGCAAAAAAAAATTTCTTTAATGTTTGAGTCATTAAGCGCGAGTGAAACACTGTGTTCCACATGTTTCTACTAGATATTTTTATATGATTCGATAGAGTTCGACGAGCTCTACAATAATATGAATACAAAAAAAAATTCTGATCCTATTTCCAATAGAGAACTTCAAGAAAATCAGAATGACTAATACAAATCTTGCACATCTTTCATTAAAAAGTATGCCTGATTTTCAATAACTCTAGCTGATCGACTGCTAGTTTATATTTCGAGATGCACTGTCACGTACTGAAGCTGAAAATAACGTTTCCGAGCTTTGTAAGGGTGTGGGTGTGGGTGTGGGTGGGTGTGGGTGGGAGTGTGGGTGGGAGTGTGGGTGTGGGTATGGGTGTGGATATGGATGTGGATATAGATACAGCCATCATCTACACCCCTCACCACCTACACCCTCACCGACACCCACACCCATCCACACGAAAGCCACCTACACCCATACCCACACGCATCCACACGACAGCCATCTACACTCACACCCACACCCACACCCTTTTGCAACGGTTGAAAGTAATTTCTTGAACGGACTAATGCAAGTTTTTTAACGAATTTTTACATCGAAGGTCGACGTTTGAGATTGCTCGAACGACTACACTGTGTGAAGCGATTAGACCAAATAATGCAATACAATTTCGATTTGTTTACTACCAAAATATTATTCGCTAGAGCCCTAATCAAAGACATCGTTTTTCAAGTGTTATTCTTATAGGATCAGCGTGAGTGGATGTCAACATATAATCAAACAATTATCTGGCCTACCTTCCCCTAACCCCCTTTCTCAAATGATTGATGAGTACTATTTGGTATGGGTATGGTTGTGCGGAAGAGAAAACTTATCGTTACACATAGCCACGCCATTGACACCTACAACTACAGCCACACCCCCACCCTTATTTGTTGATCAACATCAAACGAAACGGAATATTTTTCCAATTCGAACAGCTCGGCTGGCTGGGATTTTATTTCAATATTCTCGAATAATCTCACTATACTGCACGGTACGAATACAATGAAATAACTAACTTTCACAACTCAAAAGGATAAAGCCAACATGAAAAAAGAAAAGGAAAAGGAAAAAGTTTCAATAATAATTATGATCCGGCATGGTATACGTCATTGAAAGGGTAATTGTTTTACCATTCGAACACAACCACGAATTTTCCATTTCCTGTTAAACCATGCGTTTTACTATCGTCTGTCGGATACAGATAAGCGTCAGGTGCTCCTGAATGCAATGCTTGAATCCGTGTTCTGAAAAAAAATAAACCAAATCATTGAATCGTTGAGATAAAAAAACTTCTATTTGTAGTTGACCTACCCATCTGGAGCATAAACTTTGATGGGCACATTGAAACCATCGATGACACTCAAATCATAGTAAGTGTTCGCATCATGTGTTCGAACTGATATTTCAAATAGTGTTATGCCTTTACCAGCCCAGCTATGTTTGAAATTTCCAGCAAATCCTTGTGGAACATCATAGGAAAAATGGTGGCTACCAAATTAAAAAACAAGCAGAATAGGCATGATGCATAGCTTCCACTAACTCTTACCCTGTTGGAATTGTAGCTGCCTGTTGAGGTGCGACATTGTTTTGTGTCATAACTAATTCAATCGGGAAGTTGAGACCATTATGAAACTCAACAGTTATTCCAGATGCCATTGTAGCTAAAAACGAATGTAAACAGGAGTAAACACGACAAGAGAATTCTTTTTGATAGAATATATGACATATTGTGTAGTGTCACATATCCAGAATTTTGGAGATGCGCCCACATCTCTCGCAGGAGATGCCGCATCTCCCGCAGGAGACGCGAAATCTCCTTCAGGAGACGCGGTCATTTTCCACTGGAGATGTATCATCTCCTTTAGAGATGCACATCCCCCGCACCCACACTCACATCTCTCGCAGTAAATGCCGCATCTCTCGCGCTAGACGTGGATGCATCTCCAAAATTTTGGATATGTGACACTGCCGGTAAAAGGATAGATATATACATAGATAGCTTTAAAGTAGGTAGGTAGATAGGTAGGTGTAGACGTAGATGTGGGTATCGGTGTCGGTGTGAATGTGGATGTGTCTGCGTCTTATGAATGAAGAAGTCTGTACCACACCCACACCACATACTCACATTCACACCATACACCCACATCCTCTTCTGAAGCTCTCCACAAGAAAAATTGATACTTTTCGGATACACAGTTTGATACAAACGAGATCACATGATGACATACCTATACAAAAGAAACACTATTCGATTGATCAAGAATTAAAATAGTTTCTTACACAGAATTCGATCTCCAACCAAAAAAGGAAGAAACCAGCAGAGATATCAGAATAAAAAGCATGCTCACCTTTGTGTTGCTTTAGTTGTGAATGACGTGTGACAAAAAGTAATATATAACTCTGATTTTTTCCCATTCATACGACTCATATGAATTGCGTAACCATGTGGCGGGTGTGGGTGTGGTGGGTGTGGATGAAGAGAAGACAATATCCACACCCACACTCACCCACACCCACACCCACACCCCACCCCACACCCACCCCCACACCCACACCCACACCCACCCACATCCACCCACACCCCACACCCCACACCCACCCACACCCACATCCACCCATACCCCACACTATCCACACACCATCCATACCCGCACGCGCACCCTTGTATCAGCAGTAAAATAACTAAAAATGGCCTCATGTTTGAATATTTTGATCATCAGAATTGTTTTTAAATAAGATGCATGTGATATTCGAAATCAGTACACAAAAGTGAATCAATTAACATAGATTTTATTACAAAAT